TTTTAATAGATTTTATTTAGCTATGTTTACTTGTACTTTATGCTCTAGTTATTGTACATTTTCTTCTCCTATTTATGTTAGACTTAGTCAACCCATATATAAGGGTGTTAACCCTAGTTGTACAAACTACTTTTCATTCTCCAATAATCTCAAGATGCAATTATTTCTTTTATTCTTGGTTCTCTCTTTCTCGCGACTGCAAGCTTCTTTGATTATTTACATGGTATCATTTGCCCATATCTATACGATCTTTTGTTGGTTTCCGCTGCTCTTTACTGTTTTTCTCTACATAGATCGACACCTTTCGATCTCTTATTTTGAATTTTCATTTTGGATCAGTTGTTCTTCATCGCCTACATTTTCTGAAATTGGGGATCTGAGTCGCCTTGCACCAGATCGTGTTCATCCTGCATAGATCGATACAAATCCAGACATACACGATGTTTCTGATCATTATGCAGAATGTCGACTCCAACTGACGATCCAACTGCACCATATTTTCTTCACGGAAGCGATAATCCGGGTGCCTTGATAGTCGCTGATCTCTTTACAAGCGACAATTACGTCTTTTGGTCTCGATCTGTTTCCATAGCACTCAGCGTGAAAAACAAGTTAGAGTTTATCGATGGTAAAATTTCTGTAACTAATCCCTCTGCTAATCCTTCTAAGTCTCTGCTTGGGTGCGTGCTAATAATTTGGTTCTGTCATGGCTATTGAACTCTATATCTAAAGACATTCGACAACCTCTGTTGTTTTTTACTATTGCTAAAGATGTGTGGGATGAAATCAAGTCCAAATGTGCTATGTCTAGTGTTCCTAGGGTTTTCCAACTCGAAAAATCCTTAAGTTCAATGGATCAGGGTCTTTATCTGTCACTCAATACTATAACTCTTTTAAATCCCTTTAGGATGAATATGTGACCTATCGCCCTGTTTTTCGTTGCATTTGTAGTGCCCTCAATGTCTGTACTTGCAAGTTGCAATATACTTGATTCTCTGCACAACAAGATGACTCTGTCATGAAATTTTCATTGGCCTTAATGATACTTACTCATTTCTGAGGAGTCATTTTTTGCTGTCATCACCCTTACCTTCCTTGTCAAAAGTCTATTCTCTACTTCTCCAAGAGGAAAGTCAGAGATCTTTACATTCATCTAACAAAACCATTAATTCTATGGTCGTGCTTCCCAAGGCACCTCAGTTTCAGACCAAATACACTAAACCACAATTTCCAAAGACAAACCAAAACAGAAATGCTCTCATTGTGGCTACACTAGTCATTCTGCTGAGAATTGCTATCAATTGATTGGCTACCCTACCCATTGGAAAGGACCTAAAGGGTCTAGGAAACATCATGATCATGTCTCTGTTAACTCTGTTGTCATTGAACATATTACTTCTGACACTACTGACAATCTGTTTCATGAGTTTCTTGAGTTTAAAAGGTCTTATGCTAGCAAACAGGGGATTGGACCTCCAAAACTCCTCATATTGTTGCTACTGCTCATGTGAATCCTGACCAATCAGGTATTACAACAAATTCAGTATCTACTAACTCTACTAACAAGTTTATTTGGATACTTGATACTGGTGCATCTGATCATATGATTAATGATATTTCATTATTTACTTGTTCCCCTACTCCTGTTTCTATACCTGCTAATCTTCCTAATGGACAAAAAGCTTGTGCATGCCATGAGGGACAGATTTAAAAAACAAAATGAAAAAATGAAGAGGTAGGATTTTATAATTTCAATCGAGTTGGATTGGCAAGATTAAAGCATAAGGATTCGCAGCTCTAAGTATCCGGAAAAAAACAACAAAGATTTTTGACCAGTTCCAACTAGATCTGGAAGATCAATCTATCCAAACTTTGATTTTTAAAATAGGGTGGAAGATATTTGCTCTTGTTTTCTTGAGGTCGTCTGCAAAAAGGGTGGAATACGAAGAACCAAGGAAGAGGAAAGAAGGCGATGTAGGGTCCAACCATGTGAAGAAAACAAAAGTCTTGGTTGTTGAGAAACCTTAAGAACTTAATAAGCAAAAAGTAGATGGCAGTTGCGCCTGCCATTGTTGAAAATTGAGTACTTCCCTTCTATAAATAGAGGGGGTATTCAGCAGAGGGAAAATCACACCAAAAGTGAGAAAGAAAAATAGCATAAACGACATTCAGTTTCTGGTGTGCTAGATTTTTCAGTGAGAGAAAAATAGAGTGTTTGAGTAAATCATGTGAGTGTGGAAAAAGTTATACCAGGTTGGGTATCATCTCCCTCCTAACAGGAGACCTCTTTTTCCCGCTATCCCAAGAGGTCCCGACTATCCTGGTCACCTTTCCTTCACTTCGCTTCGTTCGTTGGGTCTTTGTAATATTTGAATAGAAGCGAGGTCTCACTGGGTCACTATATTTTACATTTCTAGTGTAGAGGAGTTTGAAAAGATATTATAATTATCTTGAAAATATAGTGTATTGTTCGGAGGTTGTCCCGCGGTTTTTTCCTCTACATTGGAGGTTTTTCCACGTTAAATCTTAGTTTTCTTTCTTGCATATTTTATTTATTTGGGATACTTTTAGTAAGACAAATATGCATATTTGCTCGTTTGTTGGGCTCAGATGCGCAAATACAAAAGATATAAATTAAAACACCGAGGTAAAATAGTGAACAATAACCTCAATCCCAACAACTCAAGAATGACAAAAGAAATCTCATGCAATAAAATAGAAGTAATTATTTTTTGATGTGGAAGATCAAATTAAACTGCGACCACATAGCATTTCTAATGCTAGTAATTAAGCACAATGTTTAAGAAAGAAAAATAAATAAATAATAAATATTTTGTTGCAAAACTATTCTACTAGGTTTCAAGTCTTAATGGGCCTAGAAATTCTCAATCATATACACTAGTACAACACCCGTGTATTACACGGGTGCTTGCTAATTTTTTTCTTAAATCTAAAATTAATAAGAAAATAGTAGTTTGAAAATTTAAATATATTTTATAAGAATATATATATATATATATTATTATATATTTATTATGATACTTTTTATTTGTGCGACTTACTTGTGTTATATTATACTAATTTTTTTTAACTTACAATATATAATTACATTACATATAAATATATCAATTGAAAAATAATTTTATTTTTCTAATGAATTTTAATAAATATTATTTTTTATTATAAAGATAAATATAATTTATTTATTTCACATATACAATATGGATGTCAAATCGAAGATAATCAAAAGATGATTAATTTGATATATTATATATGTAAAATCGATAAGAAATACAAAAGTTATCAACTTTTAAAATACATTTATAATTCAATAGCCTATTGAAGGAAAGAAATCAAAATTCAGGGATATATTAGTCACTTAGTGCCTCACTGTGTAAAATTACAAAAAATTAAAGGGTTATATTAGTAAAAGTGATATTAAAATACCTAAGTTAGCTAAATAATATTTATGGAATACCCGAATCTAGATTATTAATTATTAATATATCAATATTATTCATCCAAACTTAATTACGAAGCATGATTCTTCGCCAAATAGGATTCCGAAGCACCAGAAGCAGCCACGTAGGCTCAACTCATTCTGGAATTATATAGGGAGGATTACTAATGTTGAGGTAATGGCATATTTTGTAGTATATTAATTAATATTATATGTATTTTAACTTGACGGGCTTAAAGAATTTCATTACTATTTTGTGGAAATAATATATTTGTATTATATTAACTGTAAAATGTTTTTATAAACTATTCTCCTACATGTTTAATTTGTAGTCTTTAAGATATTTATAAACTATTTATGAATTTGTTTTATGTATTTTATTATCTTAAATTGTCTAAATATTTAATTACTTATGCTTTTATTTATAAAATTTAATTTAATATATTATATATTATATATATTTTCAAATATTAATATATTAAATGCCGGCCCAACCACTGATCCGACCAGTAAACCATTGAACCAATAGCTCGACCGTTTCAATAAACGGTCCAGTTCTGAAAACCGTAGTACTAACTGATAAATTCTGAAAGGTAGTTTTTGTCATTGAACATAAATGCTGGTAAATTTTACAAGTAATTACAACATAAGTAAATTTTAAAAAAAATAAAAAATAAACTCATTTTAATAAATAATTCTTCTGTTCGATTCATAGAAAATAGTATTGTCTACTTATTAAACTATATACAAAACATGCATCTAGAAAGTGAACAAGTAAAAAATAATGTACCTACCTAAATATTTGAAGGGCCGAAGAAGGTGCGGCCCAACTGTTCAATCAGACCTTTTGATCCAATTAATATTATTTAGATCACTTGAATCCGGAAAATACGTCAAGAAGGAATGCACGTGGAGACCAAATACTTGTAAGAGCAGTTAATGATGGATAGATGATAATAGAGTTCCATATAAAACATGAGTGTTGAGTTAATAAATATATGTGTAAAATTATTATGTCTAATACCAAATCAAATTCCAGAGTAAAAATAATATAAAAACAACATTAAGAAACATAAGTTTTCGTCATGTCAACATTCGAAACGTGAGAATTTACTACCTAGACTCAACACATTTCGAATTAATATATAGGGAGGGATAACAAACATAATATTGAATGGAAAATAAATAAATAAATGTTGGAGACTAAAAATCCTCTTTACTAAATACGTCCAGTATTTGACTCGTAATCAACTTCTTCTTCTCAATTCAGGTGCGTCTTTTTCTCACTTACCCTCTATCAAATTCCACAAAAAACTGGCCAGATTTTGTCCTCCTCACCTGGACTCTCTCTCTCTCTCTCTCTCTCTCTCTCTCTCCAAACAAACACGATAACCAAAAATACCAGGCCGTACGTACAACAAACAAACAAACATATTCTGCACAAAACATTGGGATACAATCATAAAAACACGAACAAAGCCATGTTTTTTTGGTGATCTATGATTTTGTTTTATTAAGGTTATGTCAGAATAAGTAAATAATGTCCATCCCCAATTTATCCGCGAGCCAGACGAAGTTCAAGATGGCCGACCGGCCATCGCCGTACGTCCACCGCCGCTGGACGGGCTATTCGGGCCCCAAGCTCGTCTTCTGGGCCTCCATCTCCGCCGCCCTCGTCCTCTTCCTCATATTCCATTCGCCGCCGCCAGGCGTATCCATCACCCACCGGCCCACCACCACGTGGGGCGGCCGTGACTGGGAGGCCCGCGTCCAGATGTCGGGCCGGCCACGCTCCCGCTCCCCCTCACACTCCGACGGGCCGGGCCACCTCTCGGTCCTCGTCACCGGTGCTGCCGGCTTCGTTGGCAGCCACGTCTCGGCCGCCCTACGAAGGCGCGGCGACGGTGTTGTCGGGCTCGACAATTTCAACAATTACTACGACCCGGCCCTGAAACGGGCCCGCGAAAAGCTCCTCCTTCGGGACGGGGTCTTCGTGGTCAACGGAGACATAAACGACACCGATTTGCTTATCAAGCTTTTCGACCTCGTGGCCTTCACGCACGTGATGCACCTGGCGGCCCAAGCCGGGGTCCGTTACGCTATGAAAAATCCCGCGTCCTATGTCAACAGCAACATCGCGGGCCTCGTGAACATTTTCGAGGCCTGCAAATCGGCCAATCCACAGCCCTCGATCGTATGGGCCTCGTCCAGCTCGGTGTATGGGCTCAACACCAAAGTCCCTTTCTCTGAAAAGGACCAAACCGACCGGCCCGCCAGCCTGTACGCAGCGACCAAGAAAGCAGGCGAGGAAATAGCCCACACCTACAACCACATATACGGCCTTTCCATAACCGGGCTTCGGTTCTTCACCGTTTACGGTCCCTGGGGCAGGCCCGACATGGCTTACTTCTTCTTCACAAAGGATATCTTGAAAGGGAAGCCCATATCCATATTCGAAGGCCCAAATCATTCCAGCGTGGCCCGGGATTTCACCTACATCGACGACATCGTGAAGGGCTGTCTGGGTTCAATCGACACGGCTGGGAAGAGCACCGGGAGCGGAGGAAAGAAGGTGGGCCCAGCCCAACTACGGGTCTTCAATCTCGGAAATACTTCGCCCGTGCCGGTTACAAAGCTCGTGAGCATACTCGAGAAACTTCTGAAGGTGAAGGCGAAGAGGAATGTGCTGCCAATGCCGGCAAATGGGGACGTTTTATTCACCCATGCGAATATTAGCTACGCCAAGAAGGAGCTTCGTTACAGGCCGACGACTGATTTGCAGACGGGCTTGAAGAAGTTTGTGCATTGGTATCTTGATTATTATTCTGGGAATGACAAGAGTTCTTGATTGGTTTCTATTTGTGTGTGCAGTGATTCTTCTCCTGTTTTGATTGATTATGAACGTGGTGAGATATATTTGTGTCTTGGTAGGTATATATATATATATATAAGTTTGGGGGAGAAGAAGAAATCCAGGTGAGATATATATTTGTTTTGAGAGGAAAAGGAGAAATCCAGGTGAGGATCTTTATTTTTATGTCATTTTTTGCTTTCTTACAAACACTTCTTGTTGGACTATTGCAGTGTGATGTTTAATTTTTTTTTTTTGCCTGAAAGATGTCTAAGCTTTCTCTGCATGGGTTAATAATTTTCTTGCTTAATGTGAATGTTACACAGTGGATGCTACATATGTGTATGTTTACACAAAGAAAATGAGTTTTGTGGGGAAGATGAAAAAGTGAATAGAAAATGAGCAAAATTAACTAATGTAAAATTGTTAAAATAACGCAAGTGGATTCCTGTAGACGTGTCCAAAAGCTGGGCCAGTCGGCCGGCCCGATAGTTCATTGAACCGCTGGTTTTTTATTAAAAAAATCAACTATGACCCGCCTTCAGACCCATAATCGGGCAGTCAAAAAAGAAAAATGAAGACCAGAACGGCCCTTAAAAGTCCAGTTCAAAAACTGGTAAATCTGGGCCGGGTCGACCCTTGGCCATGCCTAGAGCCCTGTGTAAATAAGCTACCTCAACACACCATACCTAGTACCTTGCATTCAATGGAAGTGCATTCAGTGAAGTGCTCAATTCAACTATCCTCGAATGTTTCCATGTGCTTAATGCAGCTTATGACTGACAAACGTCTTTGCAAGCTACAGCATACTCAGTTTGTTGCAATTAATAATATGTTTAATGAACACTGCAATTTTTTGAGTGCAAAACTTGTTTTTATGCATCATTGCACGTCACAGAACAACAATCGAAATTCCCCAAACTACAAGCCTTTTAACATCAAAGGCACCTGTGAAATGAAGTGAACAAAGCAAAGGGACTTCCCATAAACAGACACACACATACCGACACGCACACACACACACACACAAATGAAGTAAACAAGTATCAAAATTTCCGACTATCTATCTCAACAGATAAAATTATCTTAGAAAGACTATTCTCACCCATATTACGTTTTCTCACATCCAAATCCAAATCATACTTCGTTTTCTCACTAAAAGAATAGTTCATTGAAAAAAAAAACATTTTTCATTATATTTAAATAGATTTGAATGAAATTCACATAAATCCAAGGTAAACAAAGATTGAAATTAACATATCTATATATAAAGAAAATGAATTTAATTAGAATGTTCAACTACTACTATGAAATTTTCAAACAGGATAGTATGGATCCAACATTGAAAAGAAAAGAAAAGAAGACATTTTCCATATCCACTTTCCTAAAATTGTCCTGGACATACAAAATTGTATTAGAAAAGAACTCGTACGGTATGAAAACCAGCCCAGATATCCTAGTTCGTCATCACAAAAGCTTGAATTCAAAGTAAAAGGAATCAGAAATAGCACTAATCAAGGAAGCACCTAAGCATCCGCTATGGTGACCTCAACCTCCACACCAGGTTCAATGGTGATTGAAGTTATCTGCTTCACAACCTCTGGGGAACTGAAAAGATCAATCACTCGCTTGTGAATCCTAAGCTCAAATCTGTCCCACGTATTTGTACCTAAATCCATAAAGGAAAAGATTAAGTTCAACACAATCATAATCGGTCCAACAATTGGCAAATTCAAGACAGCTCAGATTCCAAAGGCCTATTCAACAAATCCAAGAAAGAAACTAAATCCACGCATCAAGAATGAATATAGGAATTACACCAAGCAGCAATCAATTAGTGAAAAAAACAGAATGTGCACAGAAGTACAAAACCATCAAAAGAATGACATATACAAACACAATCACACGAGAACGCGGTACACAGTACGCTGGTCTATTCCGAAAGAAAAGATTTATCTTGAATAATCAACAGAAGTTTTCTAAATTGGGGTCACCAATACAATATTAGAGATTTCACTTCGCAAGTCACACCACTCAGTTTCATCTACTTAATCTAACATAGACTTTTCTTGGATATAAAGAATAGCAAATTAGCCAGATCCAAAAAGAAAAACAAACCCTTTCAAATCAATAAAAAGCTGCACAAAGGAAACTTAAGCATTTGCAACATTACTCTTACCTTCACCACAGGGAGCTTTCCTAGTAGTAATATGAAGAACCTTAGTCGGAATTCTCACCGGTCCCTTGACGCGAAGCCTTTTGTCCTTGGCCCCCCGTATCAAGTCAGCACATACTGTTAGTAGCATTAAAATCAATAAGGTCATCATAGATGAAAATAAGAAAGACTAACTCATTATCATCCCAAAAAGATAAAAGGCTACCCTATTTATTTAGCCTGTCGTGCATCGGAGCTTGACGCAGCAAGAACCAACATTGATATGTAAAACCCAATAATGAAACATGAACAACCAACATGATGCTCCAAAAAGGTTAGCATAAACATTAAAGTATAAGTATTGTTTCAAGAAACAGGGAACACAGCAAAATGTTAGATTGACGGTTATTGAAAATTAATGGAAGAACTCTATGATTTCAAGCTGCAACTCAAACTCAGGATATTGAATTAAAAAAGGGCATATTTCAACCGACTAAGGAAATAAAAAAGGGTTATTGCTCAACAGTATTGTGACTTCAACACATAAGAGAGAACTACAATTTATTGGGCTCAAAGTTGTACAATCAGTTCTATACCACATCAATCAATTACACTAAAAAAGGAGAATATCAAACAATCAATCAACAAGCCGTTGAAATCCCGGCTACATGGATCACATGTAAAACAACAAAAATGTGTCCTGCAGGTTACAATGCTCAGTTAAAAACACAGATTCATTAAAAATGAGCAGTAAAGAGAAGGGATTAATGTAGGATAGAGCAATCAAGAAAAGGGATTGATAAAAACCCCAGACCTTTCTCGAGATTCTTCACATTTTTGGAAGAGAGAGTAATGCGAATTCTGTGTTCCAGCTCTTGGGGCTCCTCCAACCCCGGCTTAGTCGGCTTCATCGCTGCGTACGCCATTGTTTTCTAGACCTTCACTTTTTTTCTGCATCACGCAAAAAAGAAAGCGATTACACAGTCGTAACACTTGATCGTCTCCGATTATCGAATAACTGTAAATTTGAAATTAGCACCAGAGCATAAACACAAGACGGGCGCCGCGGAGCAGAGGAGATATGACGCTTCAAACTTCCGCTGATGATATGTTGGATGCAAAATTTTGGATGAATTTATAAATGTAGGGTTAAGACTTTCTCGTTGGGCTTAGTGAAATTGTTGGACTGCTTTGGGCCCAAAAAAACAGTTAGAGTTAGTCAGTTTCTTGGGTCAACTTTGGGCCGAAGAGAGTTCGGATTTGATTAATGACAAAATTATGGGAAATTTTTAGCCATACTACGTGATTTTTAATATATTGCAATATTACCTTTAATAACAATTTAATTGTAATTATACCTAATAGATAAAGATTATTTGCATTCATGCCTACAATCAGTTACTTCTCTTTCTCTCC